GTTATTCTATTAAGTCAGAAAAGAGCACCCATGCCAAATATGTGATACATAAGATTTTTAAGTCCTTAGGAGGACATTAAGTTTTGACAGCTCTCCCTTTCTCTCCCAATCTCCTTTCCAGTGACTGTTTTGACTTAAGTGTTGGTGTGTGTGTGCTACGGATGCGTGACGGATTAGATGTTTCCCGGACAGTGAAGGCTCAAGGTGGGTATGTCTGCAAACGACGCTGCAGGCAGGAACATGCAGAGCTGGAAATTAAGGCTCTGTGTAGTTCTGTTTCATGAAGAGAGATGGCACTAGGGACAGAAACAACTTTTGCAGGATTGAAGAGTATCAGTGAACTGTTGTAATTCCATCCCTACTTCTTGGGAGAAAAAGCACACTGCCTCTTGAGTATTCACACCTGCATAAGTCTTATAGGGTATTTCTGGGAAATAAAATGTACACAAAAGCAGTATACATAAGTTAAAATGCCAGTAATAGAAATCCACATAACTGAAAGGAGAATATGCAAAGACTCACTTTATAGTCAATGGAAAAGATTGCATGACTGCACACACTGGAAAAATGTGTAGAAATTTGTGCACATTTCCATGCAGGTGGAAAACAAAGGGCCTTTGCAGACTGCCAGAAATAGTGCACATTAAATTGAGGCACTGCCTTGGCTCAGTTCTAAGGAGTCATGAGAATTGTATTTTTTTTTCTGGGACATTGAGCCTTCTCTGTCAGAGAGCTCTGGTGCCACAATAAATTACAGTTCCCATGATTCCCTAGCACTGAGCCAGGGCAATGCCTCAATTTAATGTGCACTATTTCTGGCAGTGTGCAAAGGCCCAAAGTCTTGCAAAAATGAATGGGAGGAAATGCAGGTGAGACTCAACTATGCTAATGGCAAAACTGTCAAAGTAGCAATAATGAATATGAAACAGTCCTGATTTTGATACTACTGCTATGATTGTAACTCCCTCCTCCACCTGCGGGCACCTGCCTTACTGGGCATGAGCCGCATGGGCAGGAGGAGGTTTATTCCACCTGTGATTGGAACTTAGGTGAATGACATTTCTGCTATGTATACTTAATCAAGGCTGCTGCCACATGCAGAATTAATGTCATTTGATACCGCTTTAACTGTCATGGCTCCATCCTATGGAATTCTGGGACTTGACTTTTGGTGGGGCACCATAGCTCTCTGACAGAGAAGCCTAAATGTCTCACAGAACTACAAATGCCAGAATTCCATAGCACTGAGCCAATGCAGTTAAAGTGGTATCAAACTGCATTAATTCTGCAGTGTAGATACAGCGTCGGTAGCTGATATAAAATTCCATCCCACATCTTTAGCAAGTATCCACAGTGCCATGAACTACAGTGGCTAAGGGTTTCAGGTTTGCATCATCTAGGTGGTGATTACTGCTTTTATTTTTAAGCATATAGCCTTGACTAATCCTCCCCTCTTGTCTCTCCTGACAGTGAACATGGGCTTTGAAGACCCAGAAGGAGCAATGGGACGGGAGCGGCAGAAACGTAAGTTGGAGGCATCCAGTGGATAGTCTAGCACAGTGTCACACCTATGCACCCCAACTGTGAGCACTGAGAAGATTCAGGGGCTTCAGGCACTTACCCAGGACTCCATTTCCTTAGAAGAACATTGGGTATTTCTGTGATAAAACATTTATTTCACACAGCATATACAAGCCAAGCTTTCAAGCTGAAGATTGACAGCATTAACACCTTAACACGGCGATTCTCAGCCTTTGATTCTCAAGCTGCCTTGGACTGCAGCTCCCAGAATCCCTGAGAATTGGCTATATTGGCTGGGACATCTGGGAGCTGAAATTCTAAACACCTGGGGGATCCTAGGTTGAAAACCACAGCCCTACAGATTCTTTTTTCTGTTAGATGACAAGGGGAACCCACAGTCCCCTAGGGTTTCTTGAAGTAAGCAGTCACTTTTCTCTGCCTTTCAGACTTGGTCCCAGACTGAAATACAAAGTGTATTTTAAAAGTGAAATGTACTGTTCTTATTTGTTGCTTTTTGACAGATATGTTTTAAAACTGCTTTTAATTCTATCGATAATTTAATTGAATTTTAACTTTTTGTATCTTTTTGCTGATGTGGGCTTTGATCCGTATGTTGCAATTTTGTAAGCTGCCTTAGCTCCAAGGGTTAGGAAGAAGGCATCACCATCTCCATAAGAAATTAATGCTACTTTTTGGATAATGCTGCATTACCCAATGATGCCTCACTGAATCCTAGGTCCTATCTGCACTAGCATGGGGGCCCTCAGAACATCCTGGCCCTGGAGGTACCTTGAATCTCCCTTATTGCAAAGGCTTTCCATTCCATCACCAGGGCAGCTCTGGGCAGCTCAGCCAGCTGGCATTGGAACAGAGGGCTCCAGATCTTCCAGGTATATCCCTCTTACTGCAGTTTTTTTAAAGTCCCAAGTTGCTCCAGATCTTCAGATCTGGAGCAACTTGGGACTTTAAAAAAAACCTGCATTAAAGAGGGATCTACCTCTAGTGCTGAACAGGCCAGCCATCATCTGGTCTGTTCACACCAGAACCAGGGTTTGAGCTGTGCGTTATCTGGTCTTGCTGCTAAGAGGACAGAAGCAGGGGGAGGCCATTTTATTTGGTCTATGCAAACAAATCCCTAGATTCTTGGATAGAACATCTAAATCATTGGCGGTCCAAAACTCCAAGTCAGTAACACTAGGTAGACTGTGAAACAGAGGCAATAATAAATTGCTTCTGTTTTTTCTCACAGATGTATTCCATGGAGGTGGAGAAATCCTCTTCCAGAATAGTCTAAAGTTGAGAGCAGCAGCGTGAGGCATGCCTGTCCATCGATTATGCCTTGGCCATCCTAGCTCCCATTAAAAGGCATCGGTAGAACGTTATTGACTGTCATGTGTTCCTAGGTCTTTGTAAGGTGTTGCCTTCAAGCAGCTGCAAAACTGATGGACTACTTAGGGGGGTTGCAGACTGCCAGAAATAGTGCAAATTGAGTCCACTTTTAGGGTTAGGGTTAGTGCTAGGGAATCATGGGAATTGTTTTTTTTCTGAGACATTGAGCCTTCTCTGTCAGAGAGCTCTGGTGCCACAATAAACTACAGTTCCCATGATTCCCTAAGCCTAAGCCTAACCCTAAAAGTGGACTCAATTTGCACTACTTCTGGCAGTCTGCAACCCCCCTTAGTTAATTTTTTTTAGAATTGGAAGGGATCCTGTATCACTTTACAATATAGGTAGAGCTCTCCCAAAGACTCCTGAAAGGTCATTAAGACTAAACATATAATAAGAAACATGAGTTGAAGATGAACTAAGGTGGACATTCAAAGCCATTTATTATATATTTAATTTATAGACCACTTTTCTCTTAATAAGGAACCCAAGGTGGCTCACAATATTTAAGCAGAGGTCCTAGAGGCTTTCTGTCCATCTCCTTAGCAGATATTTGAATGAGGATGGTCTAAGTACAGAGCCAAGGAGCTTCCAAAATGAAGATGGGAGAAAAACATGACAGTGGTATCCTGAGAATGCTACATGAAGTTGCTGCATAAACTTCTCTTGTCCGCAGGTGAAACTTTAAAAGTGATTGGTGCAGATTCACACTTGGAGACCTATTTCCAGGGCAATCAGAAGAAGAAAAACATTGACATCTACTGGCTGTTTGATGATGGTGGTATGTATCTTTCCATTCCTAACTGAAGTTGGAGTCCTCTAGAGCAAGCGTTCCCAACTTTTTTGACTCATGGAACCCTTTTTAGAATCAATTTCTATGGTGGAGCCCCTAAGAGGCCTACCCTATGTTTTACAAGTTAATGGTATTTAGGAGTAGTGTTACGGGGAAGGGAGGAAAAAACTAGAGTGAGATGTGGCTATCGCTTCTCTTACCAAATTGAAAAGCCATGGGTGCTGGTGGTGGAGGTGAGGCTATGACACAGAAAAGAGAAGGGCAATCATCCTCTCACCTTTATTGCCTGGCAATAGATCACTACCTAAATGGCACTGAGTAGACTATCTGGAAAAAAGGATCCACTCCACTCCAATAATGTTCCCATACTATAATGTATATGGATATATGTTTTTGTGGCTCTCAGTGCCTAACAATTCCCCTCCATATGCCCCCACAATGTCATCTAAATGGTATGGGGGCAATTTTCCCACCTCCAGTTGTTTTAGATCCAGACAGGTCTTTAATTCCATAGGAAGTAACCTGGATTTTGACCTCCCATTTCCTGCTTTAAAAAGTACCTCTGCTGGACCTAAAAGAGGCCAGGCATGGTCCAACGCATGGCGAAATAACATGGCAAAATTGTCTTCCAAGCTGCCAGGGCACAGTGGGGACATTTTGGGGGTGAAGAAATGGGGGTGGGGAGGAGTACCAAAGGGGTTCATCTCTGCCATGTGCCATATGGTTTGGCAGCCAGTCCCACTGACATTTTTTCACTTGTTCCTACAGGGCTGACCCTTCTCATTCCCTACCTCCTCACCCGGCGAAAACGCTGGAGCCGCTGCAAAGTTCGGGTCTTCATCAGCAGCCAGATCACCAATGCTGAAGAGCACAAAGAAGAGTAAGCATCAGAACTGGGGTCTACCTTTAAAAGCGAAGACAATATACAGAAGAGTGATCATCACTTCTTTAAACAATTAGCAACCAGCTACCGATATCCTTCCTTCCCTTCTCAGTGGTTAGCACTCAGGACAAGCCTTGCGGTTTGCAAGTTTTTTTCACTCCACCCAATCTCTCTTTTACCCCCTTAGGATCCAGTCTTTATTGAACAAATTCCGCTTGGGATTCAATGAGGTTGTGGTACTGCCCGAAATCATGTGGAGGCCTGAAGAGACAAGGTAAGTATCAAAGGTTTCACCATTTTCTGAAAGCTTTCTCCCCCCAAAATCCCATGGGTGGTAGATCACACAACTGCCTTTTGTCCTTCACAATTGCAGTGAGCAATTGGAGGCTAGGTGGGTCACATTAACACCTTCCTAAAGACCTTTGGTGGCGTAGTAGTTTGAGTGTTGGACTGTGACTCTGGAGACCAGGGTTCGATTCCCCGCTCGGCCATTAAACCTATGGGGTCACCTTGGGCAAGTCACATGCTTTCAGCCTCAGGGGAAGGCAATGGCAAACCTCCTCTGAACAAATCATGCCAAGAAACCCCCAGAATAGGGTTGCCTTAGGGTCACCATGTCAGAAACAATTTGAAGGCATGCAACAACAAAGAGATCTTGGAGGTCTACCCCCTCTAAAAAAAAAAAACAGTCCCCAAATACCCTCTAGAGAGGGTATGGGAGGCATTTTCACCATATTTGGGAGGGGGTCATTTTAGACCCAGGAGAGACCTTGTTTTCACAATAGGTTAACCCTACCAATTACAAAAGTTACAGGAACTTACAAGAAGTAAATCACCTTCTAATGGTCTAACAGAGGAGTGGGAGTCTGGTAGCCTGACACATGTTATTAGACTGTAAGTCCGGTCATTCCTGGCCCATGATAAGAACTGCTGGGAATTCCAGTCCCACAACATCTGGTTTGTATCCATACTACACTAGCAAAGGGCTAGGATGTCATTTTTACTGACAATGGAATCTGTAGGTTTGTAATTTCATGAAGTACTTAGAATTCTCTGCCAGAGAGCTCTAGTCTGTATTTCAAGAGAGTGAGCTGTCTTTGGAGAATTCTAAGCCCCTCTTCAAACTACAGCTTCCATTGTGAAGTTGAAGGATTTCAAGGCCGGCATCCATGGTTTTTTGTGGGTTTTTTGGGCTATGTGGCCATGTTCTGGAAGAGTTTATCCCTGACGTTTCGCCAACAGCTGTGGCTGGCATCTTCAGAGAATGCTGGAATGGAAGTGAGTGAGGTATATATACTGTGAGACCCTTGTTTGAGAGAAGGTGATTTACATGTTAATCTGCGTGTTGTTCTATGTTAGTCGCAAAGAATTTGAGGACCTCATTGCTCCCTATCGCCTCAACGAGGGACAGAAGGACCTGGACGCTGTGGAAGGGATGAGAAGGGAAGCACCGTGGAAAGTCACAGATGAAGACCTCAGAATCTACAAGAAAAAAGTGAGGCTTTTGTCAACGCCACTTCCATTGTTGTGTGTTAGGACAGGAGAACAATTTTTTCACCCTCCAGAGCAGAGGCTTCTGCTAACTTCTCTGGCCCTACTGTTCCTCAGCTTCTTGAAATGTGGAACATCCATTGTGACATTGGAATTGAGCATTGAGGGTAGGGTTGCTGGGTCACAGCCTGAAAAACACAGACCTAAACTGAGAAGACAGAAGAAATTCTGGCTCTTTCATTGCCTGCTTTTCCAGGGACCTTAAAGATGAGCCAA